ATGATTTCTGCGTCTTTCTCTGATAGTTTTAAATACTTTCACACTGCCGACATGTTTGCTGCATTAGTGTGTGCCTCTATTTGATCGCGTTAGTCATTGTTCGGTACATATTATTCGGTCTTTTCGCTTATTCGGTTGCCGAACATTCGGTGCATCCCTAGTGCAGACAGAGGCAGTCAGTAGTGAAGTATTTTTACTCTGCTTTAAAAGTAAAATTTTCAAGTGTCTATACTTTATCAGAGTGTGTTTCTTTAGAAAACTTCACTTCACAACATTCCAAAGCATAATGTCATACGTTTTACTGCACTGCAAACTAGGTTTCATATTAAATATCATTTCATACTTAAAGAGGTCATATGATGCGATTTCAATTTTTCCTTTCACTTTGGAGTGTTACAAGCTCTTGGTGCATAAAGAAGAGCTGTAAAGTTGCAAAGACTAAAGTCTCAAATCCAAAGAGATATTCTTTATAAAAGTTAAGAGTCAGCCACGCCTACCTAAAATGGCTTGCTCTAACACGCCCCCACATACCTACGTCACTATGTGGGAAGATTTGCATAACGCCGCCCAAATGTTCACGCAAAGAAAGAAGGCGTAACTTTTATTCTCGCTGTAGTATTGTTGCCGCCGCCGCCATGTCGTGAAGGCGCTGTGTGCTTCGTTGTGAAAGCGAAACTACTTTGTCTGGCCTTCCAAAAGAGGATGATATCCGCTTCGTCATGCCTGGAGCTGATCCGTGCTGGTCGCTGAGGAAATACTTCAACTTCGCGCTGTGGATCGCCAGATCGGCTTTCACCGTGGACGAAGCGGAGTCCAGCCCGGGGTCGTCACATCTGGTTGCCGCAGGCATCACAATATGGTAAGGGGCGTAACATTTCCGTCACACGCTTGAGGAAATCGGCCAATCACAACGCACTGGATAGCTGGCCAATCAGGGCACTCCTTGCTTTTCAGACTGATGAGCTTTGTAAAAATCGACCCGTTTCAGAAAGGCGGGGCATAGAGGAGAAACAATAATGTACAGTATGTGGAAAATAATGTTTTTTTTTTAACCTTAAACCGCATAAACCCATTTCATTACACCAAATACACAAAATGCTTTGGAATGAAGTGAAGTAGAAGTTTTACAAAGAAAAACACTCTGATAAAGTGCAGATACTTTTTAAATTTACTTAAGTAAAATACAAATACTTCACTGCTGTTCAGATCCGAGTACAGAGCAGGATCTGATGTTGTGTGAGGGGTCTCTGTCTCCGCTAGATGTCAGTGAAGACAAGAGGAGATGTGAGTGAGCGTCAGGAGCGAGAGCTTTGGAGCTCAGTGCCAGGAGCTTCCCCTGAGACTGCTGAGAGAAACAGTCCAGACTCCACACCAAAAAAACAAAACATCCTCAGCCTCAAAAACATGTCGCCTAGTCAGCTGGCAGACTGCTGTTCCCACAGGGAGGGAGACGTGTTTGAGTGTGAGAGACTCAGACGTGTACATGTGGCTACTGACACCTGAGGCACTTGTTGACGTTGCTCAACACGAATCACTTCGACTGTTCAGTCGTCAAACTAGGGAAAAACCCTTGTTACATGTTTCCTCTATAATAAGAAGGTAAATCTTAGCCCTGAAGCATTGCGAATACAGTGGGGAACGATATATAACACTTTTTTTGTGAATAGACTGTTGCTGATTTGGGAAAAACTGCCTGAGAATGTGTGAGAACCCACTGAAACGACATCAACATTAAGAGCAGCTGCCAAACTGCACATTTTTGGGGATTGCTACATGGGAAAAAAAAAAAAAAAATTAATTTTACACTCTTTTGTTTGAGGTCACCTAGCAAGTCCTGCTGTAACTTCCCAGCCTGAGAGACATTCTGAGAGAGTTTTTTGGTTATGAACCGGTGATGAATGTTATTAAAATCCACCGGGCAGAAGAATTATGCAATGTTAGACGTGTTCGAGTCTCTTAAGCATGTTGTAGCCTGTTAAGTAGATCTGTGTTGGGAATCAGTTTTTCCATGCATTGTACAATCATAGCAATGATTGGGTTCTTTGGTGCAGGGTGTGGAAGCGTGGAGTTCAGACAGCGCCACCAGGTGTACAACCATGAGCCTGGAAGGACAATCAAAAGGTACGTTTCAAACATCATTCGACTCTTGGATACCCTTTATTAAACATTGTGTGCTAATGCTACCATGATTATTACTGACTCATTCATAGGAATATTTATTAGTACAAATATGAAAACAAGTGGGATGCAAATATATCCGTACAGTTTATTGGTTAGTGGCTGTTATTTTATTTATTTAAAATATATATTAATTTATGCTACTGTTCAGAGGTTTGGGAGTCAGTAAGATTTTTGTTTTTTGATTAAGAAATTCATACTTTTATTCTGCAAAGTCACAAAAACTTTATCATAACAGACAGTAAAGACATTTAATAATGTTCAAAAATATTTCCGTTTTAAATAAATACTGTTCTTTTGAACTTTATATTAATCAAAGAATCAAAGAAAAAAAATGATCACAGTTTTAACAACAAATATGAAGCAGCACAACTGTTTTTACCATTGATAACAATCAGAAATGTTTCTTGAGCAGCAAATCAGCATATCAGAATGATTTCTGAAGATCATGTGACACTGAAGACTGGAGTAATGATGCTGAAAATTCAGCATTGCATCACAGGAATAAATTACATTTGAAGTATATTAAAATAGAAAACTTTTTTTTTAATTGTAACAGTATTTCAAATCATTACTGTATTTTTGATAAAATAAATGTAGGCCTCAAAAACATTAAAAATAAATTTTAATTTTAAATTTAATTGTGGAAATTTACTGTACATTTATAATGTGGTTGTGATTCTTTAATCCACTTGTTGCATCTAAAATAATTAATAATATTGTTTTTATTGTTATTATTTAAATTTTTAGAGTTTAGTAATTTAAACAAAATCAGTTTATCAGTTGATGGCCATAACAGGAAAATAATTATGAATCTATCAGTATCAGCCATAAATTGAATATTTGTGCATCCCTACATCAAAATTGACCCCATTTACTTTCTTAATACATGATCCTTGTCTTATTGTGATCCAATTATTGGTGCACAATATTACAAAAAAAAGTTTTCATAATAAAAGCTTCCGTTAAAAATCCATAATTTGCTCCATTTCCTTTTTTCGGCTCACATCACCAAGCCCACTTATTTTTTAACCAGTCATCATATCAAGACTTTTCCTATCCGATCGAATCCTGATGGGTGAAGCGACTGCTGAACACAATAGCAATGACCTTAGCAGAGGCTTAGCGAAGTCAACATCATCACGGCCAATTTTGCACATTCAAAAAATGTAATAATCCACTCGATTAAAGAGTTGTCGTTCGCTCCACGAGTGGAAGCAATACATGACTGTAAGTACATACCTGTCTCCTTCAACAACAATCTCACTTTTTGAACTTCCCATTGACTAACTGCATAGTCTACATTCCTTAATGTCCTTCCACCCCACTTTCCTCCCATGCGTGTGTGTATGTTAATGCCTGGAGAAGAATGAGGTTAGGGTGGAGTAGAGACAAAGACCAGAGAATATAATGTGTTTGTGTGTCATCGCGTGCCGCCACACCATTCACGGAAAGTTCGCTTATGGGAAAAGACTATCCTAAATAATGTTTAAGCTCATGAAGGCAGCGTTGCGGGCAAATCCGATGATCTCCGTGCATCCTGATGCGACGAGGGGGTGGGGCTGTGCTGAGAGTGGATGGAGAAAAGCCCTTTGCACCACTTTCCCAGGCTGTCGGTCAGGAAGGCTGGATTTTTTTTCACCGTGACCACCGTGCTGCCCTTTCCGGGGGAAATCCGAGACAAACACCAAGAAGGAAAACCGGCCCTGGGAAGAAGGAGAGGCTAGGAGAAGAAAGGTGTTGGCCACACAGCATGAGAGAGACTGTTGCTTTCAGGGCTTCTCAAAGGAGCGTATACCTCCCCTCCGTTACCTCATTGTCACCGGCCTGTCCCGTCTCGCCCCCGTCTTCCTCCTCAAAAAAAAAGGCTCATCTTCTCACAGTTTTGTGGCCTGGAATGACTGCCCAAAATACAAAGGCCCAACACCTCACACACAACAATAGACTCCTCCTTTCTTTCCGTTACGCGTATTAAATGTTAATTTTCGGGCCCTTTTTGCTCGATTCAAATGCGGTGTGAAGTATCCACATGTAACAATAGCTGACTGGGGAAAAAGAGTCAAGGAGTGCATTACAATGGAAGTGAAATAGTTAAGCCTGTATCCCGGATTTAAAAGGAAAAGTTGGTAAAGTCTTCGAGTGGCGGGAAAAGTGAATACGAAAACAAAACATTCACGCATTCCTGGCCTTATTAATGATCCATTGGTGCATTTTACTGAAGAAATAATAAAAAAAATAGTGTTTGCAACTGTTATCAAAATGTAATGCCTTTCTTTTTCAGCTGTCATTGCTGATTTTTCAACCAGTTTTTTACAACTATATAGAGACCACTTTTTATGGTCAAAGCAGTCAGGTTTTACTTGTTGAAATAAGGTCATATTGTGGAAAGAAAGTTTGCAAATGCAAAAAGTCAAGTGAACTGTTTAACCTGTGGAAATTGTTGTTTTTAAACATTCCCTCATCTGCCACTAGCCAGTCAAACAGGTAGTCCCACCCTTATGTATATATGTATTAAATTCATATAATTTAATATAATATATATATAATGTTTTGATTTAAAAAGGTTGAATAAAGAAATCAGTTTGTGTTGGAAAAGGAATGACAACACTTTTATAAAATCCTCAGACCATCGCAGTCTTGACACATTGAGCTGTGGTGCTCATGTGGGAAAAACCAGTTTGAGTCCAGCCTGCAACGTCTGCTGTTACAATGTTGTTCAGTCTTGCATCGATGTAATGACTTTTGACTGACTTTTTGTGCTCTCCCCTCCAATTACCTGCCATATAGACCATTTTTTACGATCAAATCAGGTTTTTTTTGTTTTCATATTTCAGAATATTCTGAAATATGTCACAATGCCGAAATAAAATGGGTTGTGACTCGGCATGCAGTTCACTTGGAATTTAATTCTTTTTTGCACCAAAAAGAATTGCAGAACTAATGTCAGTTTAAAAACATTCTCTCATCTGCCAAAGTGGTTAAAAGAGGTATTCCTGTCTAAGACTCAACGTTATTACATATTAATAAATATATATATATTGATTAAAAATGTTGTATAAAGAAATTAGTTCACACTGGAAAAGAAAAGCCAACACTTGAAAAATCATTAAACCGTCAGCAGTCCACATGCTCTTGACACATTGAGCCGTGGTGCTCAAATGGGGAAAACAAGTTTGAGTCCAGCCTGCAACATTTCCTGTTACGATGTTTACATAAAAATGGGATGACTTTCATTTTCGGCTGACATTTCATCGCCTTCTCTCCAACTACCTGTCAAATAGATGCCATTTTTATGGTCTGATCAGGTTTTACTCGATGAATATTCTGAAACATGTACAATGGGTTGCAATTGCGAACACATTTTAATTTGTTTCACTTTTATGCCAGAGAGATCTGCAGAAATAATGTCGATTTTCAACCTTCTCCTCTTCTGCCATTAGTCCTGCCCCAAACTCATGCCATTGGTTGAGCCAGTGTTTCAAAACAATTTCATGTGCAATTTCAAGTAAAGTGGTTCATTTTGTTGAAATAATGTATGCCTTCAAACAGTCCCTCATCTGTCAAACAGGCAGTCCCACTCCAAATTCACTTGAGTTGGATGAGCCTTTTAGTTATAAATTAAAATATATCTTGATTTAAAAAAAAAAACAGTTTGAATTGGAAAAGGATTGAGAATAATGAGCAATGGCATTTTGAGCTGTGGTGTTGATATGGGAAAAAGAAGTTTGAGTCTGGCCTGCAACGCTTTCTATCACACTCTGCTTTAACGGTTTAATAAAAAATGGTCAAAAGTTGCAAAATGCAGTACAGTCAGCGTGAGAATTTGTGAGGTGGATTGAAAACAGACTGAGTGTGACTGTGTAACCCTGCTGTCATGTGTGCTGCCCCAGGTGTTGACCTGCCTGCCCTGCAGGAGCACCTCTGCGGCCTGTGGAGCAGGAAAGAGCAGGAAGAGGTAAGAAACAGATGTAATTATACTCCAGCTGAGCGTGTGAGCGTCTCATGGGAAGTGAGACGCTCGTGATAAGATCACATAAGAGAGAGACCTAGCCAACCACTTTCTCAAAATCCCTGTATTCCTCCCCCCAATTTTTAGGACATACTCAATACTTTTCAAAAAGACCCCTACATTTAAAATGTGCCCTCCCCCCCACGTTTCAGTTGCTTCTTCAGCCCTTATGAGGATAATTTAGACTTTAAATGCAATAATCAGAGTTGTAACTGCATTGAATTAAAAGAATGATTGCAAATTGAGTTCTATCGTTTGCATTTATGGTATAACGTCTATGACCACAGAAATTTTTTTTTACTTGTCCCTCAAAAAAAAAAAAATGAACTAAGGTACATGTTAAAATGTTCTAGTTTAAATAGTCATTATATCACAAATACTGTTGATAGAGCTTAACTTATATTAAAAATGTTCATAATTTTCAAATCCATCCGCATCCATTCTCCCTTTCTGGAACTAAGGTACATGTTAAAATTTTCTAGCTTAAATAGTCATTATATCACAAATACTGTTGATAGAGCTTAACTTATATTAAAAATTTTCATAATTTTCAAATCCATCCGCATCCATTCTCCCTTTCTTTGTAAAAGAAACAGTAATGTATTTCCATTGCTTAATAAAAAGAAATAAATGAATTCAATTGATTTTGGTATCACTAGTAAATATTTTCATAATATTATGACCACACAATTGTAACTTGACGAACAAATAATTGTGCAGAATTGACCAGGTTTTACATTCAAAAGCCGCAGAGTTGTAGTTTTGTTAAGAAATAAATGCGGAATACAGAATATTAAGTAATACGTATTATTGAAGTAATTTAAATGTATTAATAATTGTATTAATCAATGCATATTTTATTTTATTTTATTTTATTCAGCTGCGTCAGTTTTTAGCGAGCAGTTTCTCACAGATGCAGGAGCCCTTGGCTGGTCTGCTGGGCTTCCTGCAGGGCTGGCTTACCGTCCAGAAGGGCAAGTCCAGCATGCTGCACCAGTTCATTCTCACAGAGTTTATGCGCTGGAGGACCAGTAATCCCCAGGCCAGTCTGAATGGCCTGAGGGAAGAAGAGAGACTGCGTTTGCAGAAGAAAGCCCTGGGGCTCCTCACAGACTCTCATCCCGGGTACATGGACCCCCTGCTGGAGATTTATCAGCTGAGCTCACTGAAAAGACCACTGCTGCTGGAACATGTGGACTTCCTGCATGACTGCTGCTGCTTCAAAGAGGTGAGAGGAAGTCGTCACCAGCTGAGTGACACTTTTACAGTATGTTCCAATACAGTGATATAAGAAAAAGAAAATAGTTGCTAGTAGTAGAAAAATATAGTAAGGTCAGTTATGGGCAATATTTATTTATTTAAATAAATAAACAAAATAAATAAATAATAGTACAAAATTAGTTTTGTTTATATGAATTGTTTTGTTTTTAGACAAAATTCTGAGGTCGCATATTCTAATTTCAAATATTTTTTGTGTGAATTTTGAGTAACTGTCTAAAAATAAATGTTTAATAAATGTAATATGCGTCATATTTGCTATCATTAAATGCAGGAATCAAAACTATGTCTAGGTCAGATTGCACCCCCCAAATCAATCAAACAAACAAACAAATAAATAAATATGTTGCTCATAATTAAAAACAAAGATTACAATTATTTACTGCTGTTAATTTGACTTTGTAAAATTATTTTATGACAATTAAATAAACAAAAAAAAAAAAATATATATATATTTGCTATCATTAAATGCGGGAATTAAAATTTTGTTCAGGTCACATTGCACCCCAAAATAAAATAAAATTTAATTTAAATGTTGCTCATAATTAAAAAAAAAAGACAATTATTTACTACTATTAATTTTTTATTGTAATATTATTTTATGACAATTACATAATAAAAAAATTAATCTACAATTGAGAATTTTACATACCTTTTTTTAATTAATATGTATTACTTATTTTTTAATTATGAGTTTAATTATTATTTTATTATGAATATGAAATATAATCAGTCTTTTCAATTACTAATAATTGAAAATGCTTATATTTGGCAATAGAAATATAATATAAAGCAAGATATTGTGCAACATAAGCAGCTGTAATGACATGAAATGTTGTGTGTTATGACAGGCGCTGATGTTCAGTGTCAAAGTGGAACTGCAGAAAGATCTGGACATGGAGAAGGTCAGTTCACACAGCTTGATGGGTAGCTGGACCTTCACTGTTTTAAGCTGGACCCGTCTCATTTCCGCTGTCCTCTGTTGGTGCTGTTAGATGTGTGTGCCTCTCATTCTGCTGGACAAGCTGTCTCTGGCGGAGCTGTATGTGCGTGAGCATCCTGACCTGCAGCAGCGTCTGGTCTCACTGCTGGACTCCTGGTGCGAGCCCAACTTCAACATGCAGGCACTGCTCAGGTCAGAATTAAAGCAAACGTGTATACATTGAGATATGTATACCATATATATTGAATATTATTAAAAGTTTGAAAATATAATGTTAAAATTTTAACACCCTGCCTGTGCATTACTTTCATCTCTTTATAGTGTTAAGAACTTTTAGGGAGAATGTGCCAAATGTTTTTAATTGCCAATAATGTCACGATACAAAAAAATGGTTTTAATTGCGCTTGCTTTCTTTTATGCAAAAATCTTTTGAACCTGGAAATTCAATTATTATTGAAACATATAACTATTAATATTACAATAATATTATAGTATAGTAACTTTTAATAATGTTACTGTTATTACATTATATTATTATTAATTACATAATAATAATAAGTTTCTCTCATATTCTCTCGTTTTATTGCACGCATTTAGCCATCATTTATCAGAGACATTTTTCCTACTGTAATGTTCAGATGCCTGATTTCAAATCAACATTAATACTATTTATTACTTTTGTGATTCATGAATTTGTTATTATTATTATTATTATTCAATAACAATAATAATAATAATAATCTGTTCTTTCATATGATGATTAATTTATGTAATTTATCATTCATCCAGCTTCATGTAAATTTTAGTGTTTTGATGCCAGATTTTTACATAAGAAAAAGTTAATGAATTAACTAATTAATAATAATATCAGTGGCTTATTTTTGTTTTGTTTTTCATCCTCCTTTTCTACAGTACATTTTATTGATAAGATGTGTATTTCACTTGTGCAAAATTGTGTACAATTTATAAATATTTAAAAATCACATGTATTATTTTTCTTATTATTAATAATAATAATAGTCTGTTCTTTCATATTATAATACTCATGTATCCATCATTTTCATTTTTTCTACTATACATTTTAGAGTTTTGATGCCTGATTTTTACTTCTGCAAAACTATGTGTAATTAATAAACAATGCATAATATGTATGCACTTTGTGGTTTCAGTCAGTACCCAGACGTGGTTCTCTCAAAACATCAGACGGACCAGATCCAGCCCAAGCTGCTCAGTAAACATGTGTTCAGACTCATGGAGAAATTCTGCATTGATCCCGGTGTGTGAGAGTTTCACTCCACGGCTGTTTGATCTCAAGTGTGTAGGTTTATGAGTGTGTGTGTATGTGATGTTTACACTGGTCCCCCGGGGTGTGTTTGCTACAGGTCTGTGCTCTAATTCTGTCTATAAGAGGAAGCTGGATTCACTGAGGTTTCTCATGTACAAAACCTTTGGCGAGGTGAGAAGGTTCCCCTTTTTCACAGCCCTTTTTTTTTTAAGTGTCAGGTTCTTAGAAATCTACTCTTTGTATTCATGTTAGTTTCACTTCCGTGACTTAAAATATTTCGACTAGTGTAACCGTCAAGAAAGAATATTAAATAATAATCAAGCGCGAATAAATGTGAGTGTACATATCTTACTCGTTGCTTTTTAATGTTTTTATATATATATTTTTAAGGCAAGACCTATTTGTTTTTACAAATCTAATGAATTATTAATTTATAAATATTGTTATGGTTTTGGAGAGTCGCACCACTTGACATTTTACAACTTGCTTTGACGTTTTACTAACCTTGACCTAAAAGGTCAAATTATCTGATGTTTTGAGAGACTTATTGACCTTTGCACACAGTCATTAGGGTTTGCAGGGGTTCCTCTCTATGATGTAATTTCCTGTTTTATGGTTTTTGTGTCTGCATGTTGGTTGAACCACATGCCTTTGATTTTGTGGACAGGTTTTTCAAAAATCAATAATATCAATACCACGAATAATAATTAGTAATAATGATTTAAATATAATGCTTAATTTAACATTATTAAGATTGGTAATTCGCTTTTAAAAATGAAATGTATTTTTTAGAATATTTATTATAAATAATTTCTGTAGCTTACTAATAATTTATAAATAATTAGTAAAGAATTTTTATTAAAATGTTACTCTTTTTCTAAAGAACCAATAATAAATGATTATGCCAAGTAAATAAATAAATCAGTCAGTCAATCACCAAAAAATGGTTTTGTTTCTTTATTATGACATGGGAGTTATTTTATCCTGATAATATCAATAAATTAATAGATATCATTCAAATCTTGATTAATAAAATAAAGTCTCACCCTTTATTTACCACTAAATATTTTGTGCTTTCAAAAATCACATTACAGAGTTTAAAGTTTTAAGAACTGCAGTGATGAGTCTGCTTTATTGTTTTTTATTTGTCAGAAAAGCATGTCGGAAGAGAACTGGAGAGACCATGTTCAGGTAACACTAATTCTGTTTTAATTAAGCACTTGAACATTTTAATTGAGTTTTTAAAAAGAGTGTGTGTTTTGTGATCTCAGGCCTTGATTGAAGGCAATACAGAGCTCCAGGTTCAGTTGGTGCAGCTGTTGGTTAGACACTGCAGCCTCCAGACTGCTGCCCAGTGGGCTGCACATTACAACTTACCCAGAAACAGGCTTCCCCTAGGAGTCTGGGACAAAATTCAGAGCCTCTCCCGCAAGAAGCAGCTGTAAGTATTAAATCAAATGCACACACACACACACACACACACACACACACAGAGACTTAAGAAACTATATTTGTGAAGACCTCCCATAAATTATTTCCATTCCAATAATAATAATATTTACTGTAACCCTCACACAAACCTTCTGACACAAGTCTGTTTTTGACACTGTTTGCAAAGATACTTTGGCTTACAAGCCAAAGTACACACACATATTACCATCAACCTCACAAGTATATTCCTGTCATCTTGTCATAGAGAGATGTGTTTTGTGAGCGGCCCACCCGAATCTTGGACACCTCTTCAGTCTGATCAGCAAAAATACTACCAGCTGCCTCTGCCCAGAGAAAACGTCCTCTTTGTAGAGTCATTAGATGAAGTTAAGCAGTGCAGAGAAGCTGTTTTAAAGGTAACCCTTTGCTACTGTACCTTTTATTTGAGTAAATACACTTACGAGCTGCTTTTAACTTCCGCTGATAAAGACTGCTTCTCTCAAAGACTATTTCTTTACACTGTTTTCTGCTGGCGCTTGAACACACTTTCCTTATTTTCTCAGCAACAAATGGCCAATGACCTTTAAGACCTCTGTTATGATTGGCTAACCTCTGAGTATTGATGTAGTTTATATTGTCGCATCAATTTTAATTAGGCTATTTTCAAATAACAAGGAAGATCCTTTTTTGCATTATATGTCTTCTGTAACTGTCTCTCCTCATTCTTCTTCAGCCTGGTTGTGTGGTGGGAATAGACATGGAATGGAGAGCCGGTTTTGGCACAGTATCCTCTCAGCGTGTGGCTCTGATCCAGCTGGCTGTACAGGATCGGGTGTTTCTGTTGGACCTTTGTGCTCACGCCATTAGCCACCACAGCACCACAGTGAACTTCATCAGAGCTCTGCTGTCAGACAAGAACATCCTCAAACTGGGTAGGAAACCTTGAGGCAAATTAAGCCACCGACTTTCTGATGTTCTTCGTATTTCTTGTGTTAATAAACTATGGATTTGCTATCAGGAAAGACATGGTAATTCTGTCTTCTTCTTTGAAAAGCATTGCTAGCTGTATGTGTGTATCTAGGTTATGGGATGTCTGGAGACTTGCGGAGTCTGGTCAGCACGTGGCCTGAGCTCAGGGAAGATCCAATGAAAATGGAAGGAGTTCTGGACCTGCTTCATGTCCATCAGGAGGTGCTGCTACAAATGACCCCCAGCTAACCATTGCTGATTGGATATTTCTAACCATATTTTGATTTTAAAACCTATGTTGATTCTTTATACAATTGACCTCTGTACCCCCAGCTTCAACGGTGCTGGTTGGGAAACAAAGGATGTCGGTCAGTGGAAGTAAGTGAGGGACCAGCGGAGAAGGGCCTGAGTTTGCTAGTGCAGCAGGTATTAGGAAAACCACTGAACAAAACTGAGCAACTCTCCAACTGGGAACGCCGACCTCTCCGGACCAGCCAACTCCGCTATGCAGGTAACACACAATTCATGAGTAGTGGCATGGCATTTTCAAACCTTGTCTCATTCTCTTTTTGTGACCATTTTTTTTTAGTCACTGATGCGTACTGCCTGCTAGATGTATACCTCGTCCTCTCCCGGGACCCAAAGGCATTTGGTTTGCCAGAGGACCTCCGCTCCATTCCCTCAGCCCAACCGGCCAAGAGCCGTGAGGAAAAGAAACTCAAAGAGAAGAACAAGCAGTCTAAAAGAAGAGAGGTCAGTCCACTGGTCTCTGACTGTGCTTTTTATGAGCCTGTAGTCCTGAAAATTGCTCTGTTGTCATAGTTACTGTCATAAAATTCAATATAAAAGTAGCCGATGAGAACATGTGGCATTTTTATGGTCAAAAACTTAAAGGTCCCATGACATGCTGCTTTTTGGATGCTTTTAGGGCTCGGTTTACACCTATCGCCATTTCTAGCCACTGGGGGACCATAGGCAGGCTAGGGGAACTCATATTAATGTTAAAAAACCTCATAAAGTGAAATTTTCATGCCATGGGACCTTTAAGGGATCTAACTATAAATGTGGCAAACATTCAAAACGGTTTATTTTTTGTGGGGTTTTTATGTCATTAGTCACTTTGTGTATTATTAGATTATATATAATAATTTTCCCTTTTATTTTATAATCTTATCATTTAAAGTCGCTGCATATTTAATGAATAATTTATAATTTACTTTAAAGAACCCATGGAAAAAATTTAAGTTTTGTGACAGGCCCTGTAATACTGTTTGGCCTGCCCAAAATTTTCTCTTGATGTATTATAGTGGATCACAATCTTTAGAGCAGTTTAGGTTATAGAAAGGTCAAGTAATTTCATCTTCACCAATGATTTTGTAGTGTGTTTTAATCTTCAGGCTCGGCAGAAGGCGAATGAGCCCCACTCTATGGATGACTGTTTAAAGATGACTTCGGAGTATGAAGGGCCCACTATTACACCACCAGAGCTGCGAGTGGTCTGTGATAACATGCTGCAGGGTCTGGGACGTTTTTTGCGCTGTCTGGGGGTGGACGTCAAGATGCTAGAAAACACAGATGACCATAAAGTAGCAGCAGAGGTGAGACAATCAGTCACCCGTTGTTGACATTTGACACAACCATTTTAGTTAAATTTCATTTTTAAACTTAATAGGTCTTTATAAGATGGTCCTCAGCTGTCTAAGATCATATTTAGAAAGAATAAGTAACTAAAAATTTGAGTGGACCTCGATGGCATGTGGTGTCCCTCAGGTCTCGATCCTTGGACCTGTGATGTTTAACCTGTATATGCCCACACAAGGCCAAATAATGCAAAAAAACAGAAATGCGTACCAAAGTTAGGCTCCCAGATCTACGTACAGTAGTGCTATCGTCAAGTGTCTATAGCCCCATAGAGTCTCCTACAGTTAAATAAAGACAGATGTTGTATTTGGCTGCAAAGAAATTTAAGGAAAATTCCTTCTGAAGTTTAAAGAATTTATTGGTGTCCTCTTTTATGTAAATCTCCGTATTAGTAGTTGTGTCAAAGCATAACTAACTAACTGTTATTATCTGGAAAAAAAATAGCAATGGAATTAATATATTGTTAAGTAAGTAATGTACTTGCATCATGTTATGTTCTCTCCTCCAGCTGGCTCGTGCTGAAGGTCGTGTCATCCTCACCGCTGGTCAGCCTTACCAAACAGTAAGTGTGTGTTTGAGTTGTTGGGAGACATGCAAACTCTGTGAGCTGTCTTGCATCCTACTGCCTACATAAGTAGTTTATCTCCGTAGGCAGCTCAATAGGTTTTAGTACAGAGCCCCAGTCTGCTTACCAAAAAACCTGTGCAGTGACTTTGTGTGTATGTGTGTGTCTGTGTGTATAGTTACGCTCACAGGTCGGAGAGGGCCGCTGCCTGACTCTGGACTGCTCAGAAAAGGCACGTGACCAGGCCGTGCACGTTCTCAGACATTTCCACGTCCACCTCACCCCTGCAGACATCTTCAGTCGATGCCAGGTTAGTTGAGCATGCCTGTAAACAAGCACATATGTGTGCATCTCTTACACGTGTTATCACCAGAACAGAAACCTCGTCCTCTTTAAAAGAAATGCATTTATCAATTTGATCAATATTAAAAGGAAAGAAAAAAGGAAAACATTCTTTATTGATCTCTTGATAGTGGCTTATACCACAAAAAGTTGCACTGACATTGCAAGCAAATACTAGGAACCTTTTGAGGAGTGGAACAGCCACGCACAAAATAGTGGAACAAGGTTTGTTTTTAAAGATCTTACAGGATAACCAACCAGTGTTTTGCACCATGAATTCTGTATGTCGGTATCATTTTGGAATTACATTGTGACTTTAAATTGAATAGTGAGATAACTAAACATTTGCACTGAAGTACCCCCTGTCTTAAGACATTTGTGTCTTATCTGCAGACGTAAGAGTTGTGAGTCCGGAAGGAAGGTCAAGGAGATAGAGGGCTTCTCTGGTGACACTTCTCCTGTGAATCATTGGCTTGATGTGCCACTGCTGTTTTCAGTAGAACATGCACAGGAGGAACTTTCTTCAGGCATTTACTCTCACATAAGTGATGATCGGAATTCAGACAATGGATATAGATAAGGAAATAAGCAATTACCAGAGGGATATAGAAATAACATGAGACAAACAGAAAGAAAGAGTAAAGACAAAAAAGTACCTAGTCATCATTAGCACTTATATGGTTATTAGGTTGTCAGTAGATCGCTGGTAGTTTATGTCAGAAGGTTTTCTATGATAGGCTAAAAAAAATCATAAGTGAGATCACTTTAAAACATCACACCTTTGTCCAGAAAACCACATGGCATGTAGTGTCCCTCAGGGCTCGGTCATTGGACCTTTGTTATTTAATCTGTATATGCCCAAACAAGGCTAAATAGTGCAACATAACAGAAGAGCATACCATGGGTAGACAGCCAGATCTACAGAGCACTGTTGTTGCTATGGTATTCATGGTGGTTACTGGCTAATTGCTTACTAGTTAAAAAAGTCGAAAATGTTTCTATGGTAGGCTAAAATCATAAGAGAGATTGCTTTGAAACATCACAACACACTTCTCTCCACAAAACCACATAGCATGTGGTGTCCCTCAGGGCTCTATCATTGGACCTTTGCTGTCTAACCTTTATATGCCCAAACAAGGCTAAATAATGCAAGATAACAAAAGAGCATACCATAGGTAGGCAGCCAGATCTACCTAGCGCTTTTGTTACCAGGGTATTCTTGGTGGTTGCTGGCTTATAGCTTTTTTATGACAGACTAATATTATGATGAAGATTGCTTAGAAACGTCACAATAGAACTCTCCTCAGAAAACCACATGATTTAAGGTATCAATCATGTCCATAGCACAAACAGGATGGGTTATTATGTGTTGAAATTTAATAAATGTGGTTAGAGGTTTGTTAGAAATAAGATCTTTAGTAAAAGTGATGCTTTCTCTAGCAAACACTTAAAAAAAACGTAATATTGACTAATGCCAATAAGATGATCGAGGGATGAGGTGAATAAGTGGAAGGTGGAAGGTTGATGGGAAAGGAGACTGTGAGAAGAGAGAGCCCTGCAAAAGAGGACAGGCAGAAAGATGTAGTGAGAGATAACAGAGGAAAAACAAAGGGAGAGACAGACTAGGGTGTGAGACAAAGGGAGAGATGGAGGCAGATATGTGCTTGACTCATTCC